AGAACTTGACACTACGGGGATTATTATAAAAACATTGACTTTTGATGGTGCTGCCAATAATCTTTCAATGGCGTCTGAATTAGGAGCAAATTTGCAATACTCGGAGTTAAAACCATATTTTTTACATCCAAATACAAATGATAAAATTCACATAATACTCGATCCATGTCATATGGTTAAACTCTTAAGAAATTGCCTTGGAGACTGGAAGATATTGTATACCACGAACGGAGAAACTATTAAATGGAGTTACTTTAAAAACCTTGTTAATCTTCAGAACGAAAGTGGACTACATTGTGCTACAAAATTGAGAAATCGCCATATTTATTATTTTAGAGAAAAAATGAAAGTTAGACTCGCTGTGCAAACATTTAGTACCAGTGTAGCTAATGCAATTTTATTTTGTATGAACGATTTAAAACTAGAAAATTTTCAAGGTGCTGATGCAACAATTGAATTCTGTCTACGTATTAATAACATTTTTGATATACTCAACACTAGAAACTTTTTGAGCAAGGGTACATATAATAAATCAATTAATAAAAGGACAAAAACTGAAATTTTTCATTATATTGAAGAATCAATTGATTACATAGCTGGGATTCAATGCAATGAAAAATCACCAAAATGTGGTCAGCGGTCAATATTAAATTCTTAAAGGAAAACTGGGTTTCTAGGACTAATTATTTGTTTAACTAGTCTTAAAAGTTTAGTATTGGAGCTAATTGATACAGAATACCTTAGCTTCATTTTAACATATAAATTCAGTCAGGACCATATCGAAATGCTATTTTCAGCTATTCGGGCTAAGGGTGGATTTAACAACAACCCTACAGTCTCCCAATTTGAAGCAGCTTACAAATCTATAATTGTGCATTCAGAAATAAAATCATCATCCAGTGCAAACTGTATGGCATTAGACGATACTACAATACTTAGAGTATCTAGTAGCAACATTAAAGTCAAAGATACACAGTCAGAATTATTAGATTTATTGTGTGTTGCTGGGACAGATGATTTAGAAAACGATAATTTATTGTCTGTTTATCAGCATAGCAATTTTATCAATGATGTCGTAGCTTATATTGCTGGATTTGTTGTTCGCAAAATAAAAAAAACAATTTTATGTGATACATGTGCTCTAGAGATAGAAGTTGGGTCATCAGAATCTAAACTTTTGGATCGGAAGAATCGCGGTGGACTAATCAAACCTAGTCATGATGTTGTCCAAATATGTAAAATTGCAGAGCGCACCATCAGACATTTTCAGGCAATTGACAAAAACAACGTTATTAATAAAATAACATTGGAAGCCATGAAAAATATTAACATCGAGAAATATTTCACCAATCTCTCTTTACATATACTTGATCAAGAACCACTAAATAATCATGTACTTCAACTAATTAAAATAATTATAAATATTTATTGTAAATTACGTGTACATCATATAAACTCTANAGGAATCACATGCAATAGGCAAAATCAATAATAACATATTTATAATCTTAACGAATCCAAAAGTCAATGTGGAACGACAATGTGATATATTGCATGTATTTTTTTGTATCATTGAATTTACCTATAGTCGTAAGGCAGTGAACAATGTAGTTTATTGGGCACAGTATGACGCAGTGCCGTATCCAGGGGGTGGGCTTTTGGGCTTAAGCCCCCCCCCGAAATCTCAGGAAAAATATTTTTTTAGTAATGCGTTATGCGTAATGGGTTCATATCACAGAACAATATCATATTATCGTTCATGTCATAGTAATAATGTTGACGACCTTTTAGTATATTATGGTTGTGGTGACGCGGTAGTCTTATCACCACGTCTTACTCACTCCGCTCGCGTTACCGCGCTATACGCGCCCCATGATAATATATTGATAACAATAATCTTATTCGTGATATCACAAATTGTTTTATAATATAATCTGTGGTGATACGTGGTGATACCATCATAAAATAATGCAATACTCCAATATACCTACTATCATTAATTATCAACATCAATTTGTGGCTTTTTGCTTTTTAGTTTTTACTTTATATTATATTTAGTGAAGTGTGTCAGTTTTATTAGTTTATAAAATGAATGAAAACGAAAATGAACCTAAGAGAAAAAAAACCAAAACATTGTATTCATACTTTAGTTCAAATGTAACTACTTCTGCAAATATTTGCATCAATGAACAGGTGAGTTAGGTACTTAAATATACAGTAATACAGTATATTTAATATTAAATTCATACATATATTTATAAACTCATGAATATTAAATTAATCATCACCAATAACTGAAATATCACACATTAGACCAATACCTAAAATACATACATTTTACCAAGTACGAATTTAGGGGCAACTAATGATAGACATAGAGGCAGTATTTCTGTTAACTCAGCGAGCAGAACAAATATAGATGAACATGTTACAGAACCAGAATTGGTATGAATTAAAATGAATTGTATTATGTATCTACCTATAATATAATTTTTTATGTTGAATTTGTTTTTTAATACCAACAGTCAGTACATAATATGTTAAAATCATGTTATGTAAGTTACCTAGTTAAAAACATGTGAAAACCTAAAATTATTATTAAATAATAAATTAATAATAATTCAGGTATTGTATAAAAGTTTGTTTAATACTGTTATTATCAAATATATTATTTGTGCTTTGTAATAATATAAATGCACAGATTAGGAAGTAGCTTATTTAAATTATTTTTAATGCTTTGCTAGCTTTAAAATTTCTTTTCAATTAATTTTTAGTTTTTCACCTAAATTATTTAGTTGTTTTTAAAATAGTTAACCAGCTACTTGCTTTTTGGCATTTTGGTTTCCACAAATAAAAATTGCATGATGAATAATATTTGCTATTTTAAATATTTTTGGATATAACAATTTAAATCCAGTAAAATAATAATTTTGGGGCAAACAACCTTATCTATTAGCAGTGTGTGGAACATTTTTGAAAATTGTATGCATTCCCATTCACAATAAAATTATCCAACAGAATTGATTTCATTAGTAAATTCTGAAATAAGTTCTTTGATCTTTCCAAACATTATAATACCTATTAATTATAATATAATTATTTATAATTATTTATTATAAAATTATAATATAGGTTTATAGCTTTTTTTTATACATAAACCTAACCTATGGCCTTCTGCTAATTAATATTGCATGTTGCTTGCTTATTTCATTTTAACTTATATTTTTAGGAATCAAACCCAGTGACCAATAATTATAAATATGATATTGGCACTCATATTAAGAAAAATAAACCAGAGCGACTGAATGATTTAGAGTTAGCTGATGTTTTAAAAAACTTATGGAAACCTGACAACACTTATAAATTTGAGGCAAAAACATTTGGAAGTCAGTCAAGAATGTTTAATTTATCATGGTTGGAAAGGTGGTCTTGGTTAGCATTTTCAAACATTGAAAAAGGTGCATTTTGTAAATATTGTGTGTTGTTCTATAAAAGTGAATATGCTGGGAAAGGCATGCATTCTCCACCTACATCTTTAGTCACTCAACCTTTTTGTAATTGGAAACATGCTATTAGTATCTTCAATAATCACCAGAACTATGAGTATCACAAGTTTTCTAAACTAAAAGCTGTTGAATTTTCAAAAATAATTGATCAAAAACAAAATGATGTAATTGTTCAAATGCATAAAAGAAATGAAAAGGAGATTAAAAATAATAGAGAAGTTCTAAAAACAATAATTAAAACAATTGAGTTATGCGGAAGGCAAGGATTAGCTCTTAGAGGTGGACATGATTTTGGTGAACTTAGTCTAAATACTCCAATAAAAAATGATGGTAACTTTAGAAGCTTATTACGCTATCGAATTGAAAGTGGTGATAACTTATTATTAAATCACATTCAGAACTGTAACAAGAATGCTTCTTATATAAGTGCTAATGTTCAGAATGATATTGTTTCTGTTATTTCTGAATATATGCAGCATTACATTTGTGACAAAATACGAAAGGAAAAATACTTTACAATATTAGCTGATGAGACAACAGATATAAGCCATGTTGAACTGTTTTCATTATGTATACGATACTTAGAAAAAAGTTCAAATTTTGAAAAAGATAATACATATATAATAAGAGAAGATTTTCTACAATTTGTTCCTGTCCATAGTACTGTAGGATCTGAATTGGCCAACACTATTATAAGTACTTTGACATCTTTAGGACTAAATTTAAAAAATGCTCGAGGGCAAGGGTATGACGGTGCAGCAAACATGAGGTCTGCATTTAGAGGAGTTCAAGCAGTTATAATGAAACAATTTCCAAAAGCACTATACACGCACTGTTTTGCTCATTGTTTAAACTTATGTCTTAACGATGCATCAAAAGTGCAACAAGTGAGAAATGCTCTGGGTGTTGTACAGGAAGTAAGTGCATGTTTTCGTGCATCAGCTAAACGGTCAACTGTACTACGGAAAAAATTAGAATCTAAATCCTTTTCTGGGTTGAAAAAATTTTGCGAGACTAGATGGGTAGAACGACACGAGTCAATTTTAATTTTGGTTGAAGGTTTTATTGAAATAATTAGTGCATTGGAAGAACTTATGTCAATAGAACATGATAAAGCAGTTTTTCCATTACATAAATCTATGTGTAATTTTAATTTTATTATAACTATCTGTATTTTGGAAAAGGTCCTTGGAATAACTTATTTTATTTCAAAATATCTTCAAACAGAAAATATTGATTTATCCATTGCAATAGAATCTGTAGAATAAAATTGACAATTCAAAAATTACAAGATTTACGGACGGAAGAAACTTTTTTTTCTATATTTCATCGTGCTTGTGAAATCGCAAAAGAAGTTGGTACATCACCAACCATACCAAGAGTAGTCGGGACTCAAAAACATCGAGAAAATTATGCCATACTCAATAATGACCATGTCTCTTACTACAGACAATCATTATATTATCCATATTTAGATGATATTTTAGCATCATTTAATGAACGTTTTAAAATGAACTCTAATATTTTTATTTCTTTATCTTCTTTATTACCAAGCAAAATTGGTAATTTATCATTTAGTGATATACAGCCAGCTATTGATTTTTATGAAGAAGATTTAAGATCTAATAACCAAAACATTCACATGGACTTATTAAAAAATGAATTTGAATTTTGGAAGCAAAAATGGTCTAATGAAGAAAATAATTTACCAAAAAATGCATTAGACACATTATCAAAATGCCCCGAAGATTTATTCCCACATATAAATATTTTATTAAAACTTCTTGCTATTTGGCCTGTATCAACGGCATCGGTTGAAAGAAGTTTTTCTTCTTTAAAAAGAATCAAGACCTATTTAAGAAACTCTACCGGTGAGGCAAGATTAAACGGATTAGCTCTTATGAATATCCACAGAGACATACAAATTGACACAGATGCTATTTTAAATATGTTTGCGTCTAAAAAGGAAAGGCGTTTAGATTTTAAATTGTGACAATTTAATAATGAATGCATAATACATTAAAAACTATGTGTATATATTATATGTTTTAAATTATTTCCTATTTTCCTATAAAGTTAAGTATGTTTAAGCCCCCCCCCCGAAAACAAATCCTGGGTACGGCACCAGTATGACGAATAATGTTTTTGTACATGTTATTACATCCGCATACGATATAGGTAAAAAAGTCCGTCATGACACTCTCCGACAGTTCGTGTTGATTTCTCTGACGGGCCAGGGGGTCAATTCTTGAACTCGCTCGAGATCAAGCGAAAATTAGTAGTATACGACAATAGTCGTATAATATTATCGTATACGCCTTCCCTTATTCGTTTATGCTTATTCTTGAACACCACTCGACAATTAGTTGTAGCATACGATAAATGCTGTCGAATAAAAATGTGGTTGTCGTGTAACCACTATTGGTTTACTCATTATCACTGAGATAAAAGTTGTTGTTGATGATAACAGTGTTTACATATGATAATAATACTACATAATATGATGATAACAGTTACCTTACGGCTACAGTTCTGTGCTTACATTGAACACGAACTTAGTGTTTAACAGTTAAAGTGTTTAACTACAACTATGGCGGATGTTAAAGGTCGTGCGTCAATCGATCAAATGATCGCATTAAATGGGTTTTTAAAATTAGACCCACAGCTATTGTCTGGCAAATTCAGTGCATCATTTACCTTCAAGACAGCTCAAAAACGTTGGGAGGAAATCGCGAACGCACTAAATGCTATGCCCGGTGCAGTTAAGGATTGGAAAAAATGGCGCAAAGTGAGTAATTTATGTTTGTATTACATATTTAGGTAAATAATAATTACACGAGGATTACTGTACACTGAAGTGCAGTTAACTTATTAAAAAACTAAAAATAGTAATTACTTTAATTTTTGTTATTTTTATACTTTATAGACCTTTCAGGATAACCGTACTAAAACCAAAACAAAAAAGTCAGCTATCTTAGCTGCACAAAGGAGTACGGGAAAAAACACACCTATCGTCCCATTGACCACATTAGAGAATGATACATTAGAACTTATAAATTCAACCAGCATAGAAGGTCACACAGGATGTATGGTATCAAACGTATCGTTTTCATTTGATATCGATGATGAAGTAACAGAAGCACAAGAGTACATTGAGGATAGCACAATAGTACTTACACCATTAATCATAGAGAAACCCGTTAATGAAGATTTTATTGCAAGTCCTCCATTGTTCCCATCACAAATTACACCTTTAAACGACTCTTGTACACAGGTGATTGAAGAAAGCAATGGTAATAATGAATCAATTAAACATGCGATTAAACCAAAAAAATCATGTGCAGCCAGACGATTGATACAAGGGAATGAAAGTACTGAAAAATTAGTTGATCTTGGTGAAAAAAAAATCTTGTTGAAGAAAAGGTACAATCGGGACAAACTGCAAGTTCTTAAAGACAAAAATATAATTCTTCAAGAAAAAAATAAAATTCTTCAAGAAAAAAATATAATTCATCAACGCATAGCTGATTGTCTTGAAAAATTTCTCTAAGGTTTCTCAAAGTACCTATGTTTACTATTCATTTTTTTGATACAGATGTCAAATACCTATTTAATTAATTAGATATCCTCAATATATTATAAGAATTAATGTATTGAGATTTTCTTAAATTATGTTACTATTATAATTTTCTTTTTTTACAAGACAGTGTACTAATAAATTTAAAACTATATTTGTTATTGCTTGAGGAATTATTAATACATTGTTATTAGTTATATACTATTATGTTCCTCATTATATTATAGGTATTAATGTATTGAGATTTTATT